ATAGGAGAAAAACATGACTTAGAATAATTTTAATATTCATTTATGATAAGTGACATGCTACAGATTTTTAGGTGTGTGTCTTCTATTCCACTATAGTACGTTCTCTTCTTTCGACTAAGTAATTTATGTGTATTAATTCACTTCTCCATTTACACTAAATTAAAATTATGTGTTATATTTAGTACGTTCTCTTCTTTCGACTAAATAATATTTTAATTAGCCTTTGAAGTAGTGATTTAATACAAGTTTTGTCACCTTGATTGATATGAAAAGCTGCTATACCTCTCGATCACAACTGTATATATATAGAGACAAGTCTGCAGGGCATTGAAAATGACTGAAATATATCTAGTACGTTCACAAACATGACATCCATAAATATTTCTTTCATGTTTAATAATGTATTATTGGGCAGGAAGCAACAAAGGTAGGTGCGGTCTTTCTTCGTTTATTAATCCATAAATCCAATCTATATATTCCTTATTCTTTAGCAGAAAAGAAGAGTAGACATGCTTTTGATTGTCGAATTAGGAATTTTAATCAGCTTATAGGTTGTAGCGTTTGGTAATTGGAGAAGATTTATCCATATTTGACAAGGAGATGAAGTCTAAGTTGAATAATGATTTTGTTTTTATTTTTCACTGGAGATTTTTAAATGAAAAGCTGCATCCATCCATCCATCAGAATCAGACCCTTTGAAAAGATGAAAATGAGAGCTCATATGCCGCCATGTGAAAAGATACATCTAGACCCTTTCATGCCCGAGGCTAGCTTGTGTTTTGTTCGGAATACAAGAGTACCATAACGTAAACTTTGCTATGATTTACAAAGCAGCGGAGAGGTTTAAGATATTAGGGTCTTATAATTAATTCATGTGCATAATAATTAAATCTTAATCCATCTATCAAACCTTAGGTTAAAGAATTATTTGACTTAAGTTTTGAATGAATATGATCCACAAAACAAAACTATGGTTTTTGAATGAATGTGGGTTCCAGCCGCATTGGATTGGAAGCAAGTAATTGATCTCCACCGCGTCACTATTTGTTTTGTCCCTTTGGCATATCAATGCATATGGTTCAAATTTCTTTTGGGTACGCCCTGGCTTTTTTATTTTATTTTTTCTCTCTTTTAGGATAGCCTTGGCTTTTTCAACACGCACCACATCTTGCCTGGAAAAAGCTCACAATGATTAGGTGAAATCATGTGAAGCAGCTATTCAAATTAAAAGAGACATTTAGACAATGATTAGTCTACAATCCTTACTGCATAATCTCTTGCCCTATTTGGAAGATAATGGGTATTGTTGGCAAATAAAATATCTCCCAAAATGTTTGTTTAATCATGAAAATGAAAACTGCATCAAATTCAAACACTAGGATGGAAAAAGAGAATTCGTTTTGCGCATGATGTACGCAAAGCTACGTACTATGACCTATAATGTTTTTAATTTGTACAATTTAAAGCATATTTATTTATTAGGAAGGGAAGAAGTCATGAATCGAAAAGTAGTAGTTGATTTTATTTCCTATTTCAAGAGTGTTGGATTACACATTTAATGTGGAACCCACAAATTTTTATTCTTTAAAACATTCGAGTTAGGATTTGATTCAAATACATATATTAGAAAAACATGACTTAGAATAATTTTAATATTCATTTATGATAAGTGACATGCTACAAATTTTTAGGTGTGTGTCTTTTGTTCCACTCTAGTACGTTCTCTTCTTTCGACTAAGTAATTTATGTGTATTAATTCACTTCTCCATTTACACTAAGTTAAAATTATGTGTTATATCTTAGTGGAAATTTATAAAAGATGCCGAAGTTAATTGTTATTCAGAGTCACGCATGACAACAACAATGTTTATACTTTTTTTTTTTAACACCAATAACGTGTGAACCAAATGATTTTTTTTACTGATGGATGTATAGGTGAGTTTGTGTTGAACCATCACTATCAATTAATCAATGATTATAAAGCATTTATGTTGTTTCTTGTAATCAAATTTTGATTCTATTGACTATTGGCCAATCCGATGATATCGTGTAATTGAACGGATACTATTTTAATTAGCCTTTGAAGTAGTGATTTAATACAAGTTTTGTCACCTTGATTGATATGAAAAGCTGCTATACCTCTCGATCACAACTGTATATATATAGAGACAAGTCTGCAGGGCATTGAAAATGACTGAAATATATAGAAGATTATATATAGTTCACAAACATGACATCCATAAATATTTCTTTAATGTTTAATAATGTATTATTGGGCGGGAAGCAACAAAGGTAGGTGCAGCCTTTCTTCGTTTATTAATCCATAAATCCAATCTATATATTCCTTATTCTTTAGCATAAAAGAAGAGTAGACGTGCTTTTGATTGTCGAATTAGGAATTTTAATCAGCTTATAGGTTGTAGCGTTTGGTAACTGGAGAAGATTTATCCATATTTGATAAGGAGATGAAGTCTAAGTTGAATAATGATTTTGTTTTTGTTTTTCACTGGAGATTTTTAAATGAAAAGCTGCATCCATCCATCCATCAGAATCAGACCCTTTGAAAAGATGAAAATGAGAGCTCATATGCCGCCATGTGAAAAGATACATCTAGACCCTTTCATGCCCGAGGCTAGCTTGTGTTTTGTTCGGAATACAAGAGTACCATAACGTAAACTTTGCTATGATTTACAAAGCAGCGGAGAGGTTTAAGATATTAGGGTCTTATAATTAATTCATGTGCATAATAATTAAATCTTAATCCATCTATCAAACCTTAGGTTAAAGAATTATTTGACTTAAGTTTTGAATGAATATGATCCACAAAACAAAACTATGGTTTTTGAATGAATGTGGGTTCCAGCCGCATTGGATTGGAAGCAAGTAATTGATCTCCACCGCGTCACTATTTGTTTTGTCCCTTTGGCATATCAATGCAATTAGTTTATTTATTTACTCCAATTAATAATGAATGCAATTCCTTGAGATTCTGAGTATAAACCCAATTGCTGCTGCATACAAAATATATTAATTTTTATAATCGGGTTGGGACTGGGGGGTGAAAAGATTCAACAAGAACTCATCACTCATCACTCATCAGGTGGAGTGGAAAGATGTATTCATAAGGGAAATGGTCCAACTGGAAATTGAGAAAGTTCTGTTTCTTCTGTTGCTGTCTTTGTTTGATGTTGGGGTGACACTGACATTATTAAAGCTGAAACTGAAAGCCACAAGCCTACAATTACAAAACCAGATATCCACCACCACCATCACCATGTATATATTACTTGGTCATGAGAAATTAAAATTACTTGGTCATGAGAATTCTCTATATTATTATTTGGGAAGACTAATAATTCGTGTAGTCTGTGGTGGAGGAGACTAGGACAGGACAGGCACAAGGGGAACGGAGAAAAGTTTGCCATGATATGCTGCCTACTACCTGCTGCCTAGCTAGCGCTAACATTTACCTTATCTTCAACGCACATGTCGTTCAAGGAACAAATCGTAGGACGGACCCACAGTGGGGTCACTGGGGTCAAACGACCCCATGGAAGCCATGGAAATAGGCTTGGAGGTCCACTTGAGCTGGCTGTGTGACCCGCTTGATGTTTTGCCTCAGAGGAAGAGGGAGGAAGCTGCGCGCAGGAGGAAGAAGAAGCAGCGCAACGCGCTTCTGTTTTTTTTAAAAACACCCTGGGAAAAACGACGTCGTTTTGGCCCAAGAAAATTTTTAAAATAAAAAACCATTCCTTATCCCTCCATTCTCCCACGTCTGTTTACTAAGCAGAAAGTCGTAGGTTCGATCCCTACCTGGCGCGTTTTCTTTTTCATCTTTTTAACCTGTTTTGTTGTTGGAATCAGCCAGTCAACTTTGTTCCATTTATTATTATTTCTTCCTCCCAAATTCCAATGACTGGCTTAGAAATTAGAATCCATGAATGATGAGCTTTACTCGTAATTTTATCTAAGGATGACCACAACATGGTTTTATCACCACTATTTAACACTTAAGAATTTCTTCACACACCCAACAAAAAAAAAAACAAAAAACACTTGTTTTTCTTCATTGTAATTAGAACAAAATGCAGTAACCAACAGATTGGAACCAGATGTGCAGGCAAAATATCTGACCCAATAAAATTTTGGCTTGTTTTTCCAACAGTGCTAAAACCAATATTACAAAAAAGTCTAAACAAAGCAATGAGTTCTCCACTTGTTAATTACCAAGTACAACATTTCACTATACCAACAAACTGAGCAGCATATCTTTGCAAGTTGCAAAAAAATCCTTAAAACCCATCTCCCAATTTCTATTATTCTTTTCTCAAATCCTAACCCCAAGCTCCCCAATCCCCACCTGCTGTAGTGTCGCCGATGTATTTCCACTGCCCCCTTCCACTACATGTTGTGGCACCACTGTTGTTGTGATATTTTTTATTTCAAGTAAGTTCTAAATCTTAATATCAAAATAAGGATGATGTATACTTGTTTTAATTTAATGGAAATCAAATTTATAATATTGCTTGGATGAAATTTATGATTTATATGTATTGGTTTGATTTGTTGGATGAAGTTTTTGCTTATTTTTTGTTGATTAGGTGGTTGTGGTTTTTTCGTTTTTTGGTTAATTGGCATCGGTTTGGTTTGAAATTTTATGAATTGAAATCACTCAAAAACATACATAAAAAATTGACAAATTGAAATCATTCAAAGCATATTTTTCCAAGAAAGGAATAAAATTTGGAAGAGAAAAAATAGATAAGAAAAATAACCCATTCTTAAATTTTCTTTGGAACATTTACACTATGACCCTACGGGGTTCGGATCCTGGGTCTGTCATTGGCTTCACCAAGAGTTTGCTTCAAAAGTTTACATTTCATGTCATACAAGTCAAATAAAGGAAAGACCAACCAATTCTCTGGGCATGTAGTAGCAGTTGAAGCCAAATATAGGCAACAATAATACAATATATACATCTCCATCTGAACCATATTCTGTATTTCACATTAGTGATGCGTTAGGTAGATCTTGGGTAGTAAAGTCTAACAATGTTGAGAACAAGGTTGTGGTCTTGCATGGGCATTTTCGGGTTTCTTTTCCTGTGTAGGTTAAACTTTCTTCTCAGCTTTCTTTTCAGTTATTTCTTCCACACTCACCAAGTCTGCATAGCCAAGCTTCTTCCTCAACGACTTGGCCATGTCCGCGGCATCAACTCCATCTCCAGTTATCACCATTTTGTCTCTGTTTGGTCCCTGGAAAGCCACTGATATTACACCTGCAACATCATAATTCAAAAACAAAATTATCAAACTAATTAAACAAATCTCCCATTAATATGAAAGAATATAGTTTCAAAGTATGAAAGGCACCATCTTCCGCAACAGCTATCTTCATGGCCTGGGACCGACATTTTCCGCATCGAATCTGCGCTTCAATGGTTATCTTTTGCTGCAGGTCATGCATCCAACCAAACAAATATGTCAGAATCAAACCATGGACTAAATATACACATTTTATTTCTATGTTTATTAGAAAATAAAACCTTTGAAAAGAAAATTTTAACTAGGGTTTCTTTATTTTTCCCGAGAAAATCTTTTCAGAAAGTAAGAGAAGAACATGAATTGTATGTTTCTGGGAGAAGTGATTTACCTTCATATTGTCGGCTAGTACACTGAACAAAATTAAACTTCGGGGTTTCCAAGAAGAACGTATGGATGTTCTAATTCTGAGAGAATGTGACGAAGTTGAAGACCAAGCTGAGTGTCGTTTTTATAACGTCAAACCCTTCTAAAACGGCAGTGGCAGCTAAGCCTACACGTGATTATCTTCACTAATTGAGTTTAAAGAACAAATTTGGGGATCGATCCACGTTTTGTGGGTTCAACGTACGCTGTCCAATCAGATTATGCCAAAAAATTTAGCTAATTAATCTTTGTTAATTTGATTTAAGACTGGATTTTCAAGTCAATTCTTGTAGTCAATTTAAGTAGTACTGTGATGGAAGTCAGCATCGCTGGTGTGTAAGCAAGAATAGTGTTATTAGAAATTATGAAGCATCACATGTTATAGTACAACTTTATATATAAATAATTGTGTACGATTCAACCAAAGTAAAAAAGAAAAATCTGTTCCAGCCAGGCTCATTCATATTGTTCAGGTTTTATTAGTCATTAGGAGATAGAATTTAAGAAAAAGGAAATCTAACCAAGATGGTTGGTGTGAGTGGTTCGGCACTCTCATTGCTTAAGAGATGTCAGAGGTTCGATCCTTGCTCTTGTATGAAATCACCACTTTGGCCAGCACTTTACCCCTTACGGGCCGACCCGGTGTGAGCGGGGATTGGTCTGGGTTGTGGTTAAGGAAGTACCCCCCATTTTTATATTACTCAATTTACTTAAGTTTACAATGTAAATAAGGAAGTACCCCCCATTTGGATACACACAAATGTCATGACGGGGGTAAACTTGGGTGGGCTTATTTTGGGCTGTAAAAAAAAGGCCACCTGGGCTGACTAATAAGATCCGTCGAAGATGGGTACGGGTCATTATATTCAGAATACCACACTGTTTCCGTAATTGAACGGTGATTGTTTTCTTAAACTAACATTTGTAGTGAATGAGGCTGAGGCCCCATTCCTGGTACATGATCACGATTCACATGTGACATTGACAACAAATAGACTTCATTTAAAGAGAAGTTATTAGTGCAGAACCACCAACATCCTTTCATCTTACAACTAAGCAGACCCCAGCTCACCTGGGGCAGAATATCCAGGTTTTTATTATTACTTATTTTAACACAAAATAATATTGGGAAACGAAGAATTTCAAATATAGGACTCGAGTGCAAGGATAATTTTTCTTAACCACTTAAACTTTACTTGTTCTTAACAACATTATTGTCATGCTACTTACGATTATACAACACAGCCCTGCTTCTAGGCTCTAGTTGTGGTCCCTTAAATTGGAGAAACATTTACATGAAATAGGGATATCACTATTTTGCTATTCCCAACCAATCAAAGTATAACATACATGATAACTTTTTCACATGACATTATATAATTGATCGGGAATAACACCGTTTTCATACAAATTTTTCTATTTAAATTGAGAGCTGCTAATAAATAAAGTGACATTTCAAGTTCTATATATATGGCGTGGGGTCGAAAAGCACTATGCAATGGGGATGCCAGATACGGCTAGACAAATTAATTCTAAGGAGAAAAATACATGGTTCAAATTTCTTTTGGGTACGCCCTGGCTTTTTTATTTTATTTTTTCTCTCTTTTAGGCTAGCCTTGGCTTTTTCAACACGCACCACATCTTGCCTGGAAAAAGCTCACAATGATTAGGTGAAATCATGTGAAGCAGCTATTCAAATTAAAAGAGACATTTAGACAATGATTAGTCTACAATCCTTACTGCATAATCTCTTGCCCTATTTGGAAGATAATGGGTATTGTTGGCAAATAAAATATCTCCCAAAATGTTTGTTTAATCATGAAAATGAAAACTGCATCAAATTCAAACACTAGGATGGGAAAAAGAGGAAATTTTCTATTTAAACCCCACACTTCTCTTTGTTCACCCAATATTCTAGGTTCATCCAAACTTCTAATTTAAATTTTCACAATTTCTAAGAAAACCCCACTATCTTCCCAAACTACCTTTAAATACACCCCAAGCTGAAAAAATAAGAAATAAAAGAGTTTTTCTATTTAAACCCCACACATTTTTTTGTTCATCCCAATACTTAAATCATTAAACAATATTTATAGTATGCATGAGATTTTGTTGTTTTCACAAGGCTGTTTTTATCATGTGATTAGATCATATGGGAAATTGTAATTTGTTTGGTTTCGCTTTATGATGGTAGTGAAAATCAATGACAACAACATCTTATTTTATTTTTTACCCAACGGAAAAAGGTCAATTATCAAACATTGTTAAACCAACCCTTGTATCAAATACTCAACGTACAATCTCAAATTATCTTCTTTGCATAACGTGGCTTATTTTAATTGCTTATTAAAAAGGTTAACTTATCAAACAAAGATGTGTGCGGTAGGGTTTGAACCTCAGACCACTGACATGTAAGATAATATCCTTTTTTACAGGACTAGACTCCATTAGCAATAGGATGTAGAGGAGTTTGTATTTTTCTAAAACTTAATATGAAGAGTGGTGGGGTGTGTGTATAGATAGATGTACTAGGGTTAAATATTAAGTTGAATGACCTTTTTTGTCTTTTTACACAATAATAAAACTGACAGCTTAATAATTTAAGTATTGGGGTAAACAAAGACAAGTGCGGGGTTTAAATAGAAAATCTCAAAAGAGAATTTTTTTTGTGCATGATGTACGCAAAGCTACGTACTATGTACTATAATGTTTTTAACTTGTACAATTTAAAGCATATTTATTTATTAGGAAGGGAAGAAGTCATGAATTGAAAAGTAGTAGTTGATTTTATTTCCCATTTCAAGGGTGTTGGATTACACATTTAATGTGAAACCCACAAATTTTTATTCTTTAAAAAATGCGAAGTTAGGATTTGATTCAAGGGGTAAACTGCTGAAATGCCCCCTAAACTTGCACCTAATTATCAATTTACCCTTGACCTTTTTTTCTAGAAAACTAAAGACTCGAACTAAATTTTATTCTCAATTTCACCCCGCCGTCCAAATTCTCAACATTTCATCCAATTTTCAATTAAATGATTAAAAATATTTTTTTTTGGAAAACATTAAAGAAAAGAGAAAAATAAAAAACACCTCATCCCCATAGCCGTCACCTTTCTTCCCCACCATCGTAGCACCTAATCGACCTCCGACCCAACCCAGACCCAAGACCACCTCCTTCCCCACCGCCCCTCCCCTCTCAGCAGCCAACCCTCCCACAACCACCATACTCTCTCTCTCTCTCTCTCTCTCTCTCTCTCTCTCTCTCTCTCTCTCCACTAAAAATGTACTCTACATTAGGGCTGGGCACGGTCTGAGATGACACGGGATGGAGGTCATCCCGGTGTCAATCCCAAATAGGGGAATCGGGATAGAATGACACGGGATGAGAGTTTTTGAAAACACGTTCAAACCATACCGGATCCAAACGGGATTGGTATGATTCGGTATCAATGTTGATACCGTAAAAAATCTGCAAAATTTCATAAATCAAGTATAATACAACAAAATAAACAATCAAGAGTCTTGATTCAAGACCAACCAAGAAATGGAAACCTCTTACAAAGTTCAAGTGAAATGGTATGATTTGAAATGCCACAATATTACAACCCATTGAATGGATATAGTAATGCATAAAATGCCATTTAAGTTAATGATCCAACATGTATCGAGAAAAGGCAATGACATATTGAAAGTTCATATATGGCTCTATGCACAAGAATATAATTAATGAACCTAGTTAATCTTCCTAATATGAACTATAATTGAAGCTGTTATAGCTGGGCACTTGTTAACTTTTAGAGTTCTCATGGACAACTTAATAAGTTTTCCATGTGCAAGAAAATGAAACTGTAAGCAGCAAGGCATGATAAAATTTCATCATTTATGCAACCCTCTAAGGAAAGCTATGACAAAACACAAACGAAGAAAAATAAAAGAATGACTTAGAACTTAAATAGCGGACCTCACAATCATCTCTAAATAATCTACAACAATGAGTTCCCAAAAGAGACCCATGGCTGCAGTCCCTTCAACAACGATGATTAGTTGTGTCTTTCCTTTTGGTATTAGAGGGAAACGGGTTTGAAGAAGAAGATCCCACAAAACCCCTGATTTTTCTACACATAAACTTGGAGAGACTTTGGGTTGGGGCTTTCCTTTTCCACTGGGTTGGAGAAGAAGAGTGTTAGGCCGTTATCCTAATTATGACTGCATATAATTGCTTGCAGCTGTTATGCTATTATTGTATTGTAGTAACTGATATGGCAGCTATTATTATTATATTGTAGTAACTGATAGGGTTACGTTTATGTTCCTGTGTATAAAGAGATTGTAAAATCAGTTTTGATAATATAGAAAACTCTGTTTCTACATGGTATCCAGAGCCTAACTTTTTCCTTTCCTTCTTTTTTTCTTTTCTTCTTTCGATGGCTTCAAGCTGCGTCCCCACTATCTCCATTCCCAATATCTCTCACCTTGTCTCTGTCAAACTATTTGATACCAACTATCTTGTATGGGAAAGCCAGGTCAAACCTTTCTTACTCGACCAGAATCTTTGGCGCTTTGTTGATGGCTCTCATCCTTGCCCCTCCCCTACACTTCCTCCTTCTGATAAGTCTGAATCCTCTACTCCGTCGTTGGCCAATCCTGACTATGTCTCTTGGTTTCAAACTGACCAAAGTCTGATTAGTATCCTTCGTGCTACGCTTTCTAAGAGTGTTCTTCCCCAAGTTATTGGGTTCTCCACCTCGAAGGACATTTGGGATTGTCTCCAACAAAACTTCTCCCAACAATCCCTTGCCAATTCTGCCCAGCTCAAATTTCGCCTCTTCTCTATTACCAAAGGTTCCAAATCCATCTCTGAATACCTTGCTCAAGCCAAGAGTTTGGCTGATGAACTCACTGCCATCCAGGAACCTGTCTCCAACACTGACCTGGTTACTTATGTGCTTCGTGGTCTGGGTATTGACCACCAAATGATTGTGACGGCAATTTTGAATTTCCCACCACTTCCATCCTTCTCGGACCTCCGAACTCGCCTTCTTGGTTTTGAGGGGCAACAGGCCTTAGCAGCTCAGATGGCTCCTGTGGCTTCCCCTGCTGCTTTTGTAGCTGCTCGCTTTCCCTGTGGCCCCCGCCACTCTCGACCGCGTGACCAATCCTCTCGTCCCTTTGATGGTCCTTCTTCAGCCCGTCTTTTCTCTAGTCCGGGCCAGCCTTCTCACCATGCTCCACGTCCTTCCTCTTTCTCTCAAGGTCTTTTGGGTCCTCCACCCTCTCGCCAGTCAATTCAATGCTGGAATTGCCAGCAATTTGGTCATGTTCAAGCCAAGTGCCCTTATCCTCGTGCTTTCGCTGGCATGCATGTTGCGTCCTCTTCCGATCCTAACTGGTATTTGGACTCCAGTGCCACCCATCACATGACCCATGATGCGCAGAAATTCCAATCCGGCGCTCCGTATGCTGCTTCGGATCAGGTTGTTGTTGGTAATGGTGACACCCTCCCCATCACTCATTCTGGTAACCTTTCCTTTTCTTCTGGTTCCTTTGTCTTTCGTCTCTCTGATGTTCTCCGTGTTCCTTCCCTTCATAAAAATCTTTTATCTGTCGCTCAGTTTACTCGTGATTTTAATGTTAGTATTACCTTCTTTCCTTGGGGATACCAAATTCGTGACTTACAACGTGGTGTTGTTCTCTTCCAGGGCCTATGTAAGGATGGTCTTTATCCTATCTTTCCCACACTATTGTCCAGTTCCAAGCACGCTTTTTCTTCTATCGTCACGTCGTCCTCTTTGTGGCATCGTTGTCTTGGTCATCCCTCCAATAAAGTTCTTCGCACACTTGTTTCTCGGTCATTATTAGGTTCTCTTTCTCGTTTATCAACTTCCCCTTGTAGCCACTGTGCGTTATCTAAATCAATAAAACTTTCCTTTTCGTCTCATGATCATTGCTCTACTAAGCCATTTGCTTTAATTCATTCAGATGTGTGGATGTCTCCTGTTGTTTCTGTTTCTGGATATCGATATTATGTCTTGTTTACGGATGATTACACTCGTTATTCATGGATTTTCCCTATGCGTCTTAAATCTGAAGTTTTTGGTCATTTTTCTACTTTTGCTGTGTATGTTAAATCTCAATTCTCCTTGTCTATCAAACAATTTCAGAGTGATGGGGGGAAGGAATATGATAACCTGCAATTTAAACAGTTTTGTGCTGCTAATGGCATTGTGCATCGTTTTTCTTGTCCTCATACACTCCAACAAAATGGGTTAGCAGAGCGAAAACATCGCCATATTGCTGATATGGGTCGCACTCTCTTACACACTGCTCACATGCCTCACAATCTTTGGGTCGAAGCATTTTGTACGGCAGTTTCTTTAATTAATCGACTTCCCACCCCTATCCTTAAAGGGACTTCTCCCTATAAGTTATTATTTGGCATTTTCCCGGATTACACGTTCCTTCGTGTTTTTGGATGTATTTGTTACCCATATCTTGGAGATTATGTAACTAACAAATTACAACCTCGTTCTCTTCAGTGTGTTTTTGTTGGGTACAGTGATCGCCATCTTGGTTACCGCTGTCTCCATCCTCCTACAGGTCGGCTCTACGTTTCTCGCCATGTCATTTTTCATGAATATCAACTTTATTATGCTGCTGTTTCTAAGCCTGTTCCGCTCTCAGACCTTGCTGTGGTCCCCGTGGGCCTTCTTCCTAGTCCACCAGCTCGGCCCATTCCTGCTGTCAATTCTCATGACATAGCCCGGTTCTCCAACACCACATCTGAGTCACCTTCCTCTCAACAACCAGCCGAAATCTATTCTCCCCAATCAGCCGTCTCGCCCCCATCATCAGCCCCCTGTTCTCCAACACCACCAGACTGCCGTTCCTCTTCTCCATCACCAGCCATCTCATCCCTATCCTCTGACCCAAGTTCTCAAACACCACCCGACTCCCTTTCTCTTTCTTCACAGCCAGCCGTATCCGCCTCTTCTCCACCAACTTTGTCGTCGTCTCCTCTTGTTCCTTCCCATGTCCCTGTCATCGCTCCTCCACCACCAAGTGCCCGTCTCAGTCCTGTGCACACCCGATCCAAGTCTGGAATTGTCAAGCCAAATCTCAAATATCATGCCAATTTTTCTACTCGGTACCCCATTCCTCATGCTTTCTCTGCTTTGGTCAACACAGACGTTGAATCCACTTGCTACACACAAGCATCTCGTTATCCCGAATGGAAACAGGCCATGCTAGATGAGTATCATGCCCTCCTTCAGCAGGGCACCTAGTCTTTGGTGCCGTCGTCCCCTTCGCTCAATACGGTTGGTTGCAAATGGGTCTTCCGAATAAAGCGGCGCTCCGATGCACAATTGAACGATATAAGGCACGCCTTGTTGCCAAAGGCTTCCATCAACAATCTGGTGTCGATTATTTTGATACATTCAGTCCTGTGGTTAAGCCCACAACCGTTCGCACTGTTCTCTATCTGGCTATTTCTTCTGGATGGCCTCTTCGGCAACTCGATGTCAAAAACGCATTCTTGCACGGCTCTCTATCTGAAGATGTTTATATGCGGCAACCACCTGGCTTTGCTGACCCTGACCGGCCCAATCATGTGTGTAAACTTCATAAGGCCATTTATGGTCTTAAGTAGGCTCCCCGGGCATGGTTTCAGAGATTTAGTTCTTTCCTCCTGAGTGTTGGCTTTACTCAAAGTCAGGCTGACACTTCTATGTTTGTTTATCATGATCACTGTTCTGTTATGATCTTGTTGCTATATGTAGATGACATCATTCTCACTGGCAGTAATTCTTCTCATCTCCTTGCCTTTCTCCGCAAATTGGGTGCTGAGTTTGACATAAAAGATTTGGGGCGTTTGCATTATTTTCTTGGTGTGGAGGTCCATTATCACCCTACTTCCATCCATCTTACTCAAAACAAGTACACTGTTGATCTTCTCAAACGCAGCAATCTCTTGGACTGCAAACCTGTTTCTACACCCATGACTTCCAAAGGTACTCTTTCTCGTACCCATGGTACTGTCCTTGCGGATCCTACCTGTTGCATTCCTAAAAGGACACAAATTAATGTGCAAACAACCAATTAAAAATACCCGCAAGTGCACGAATCTAATGAAGTATAGATTATGTAAGTACGGGGTCGATCCCACGAAGAACTTGTCGGTTTCCTATAAGTTCTAATTTGAGTACGTAAAGAACACTAATTTTACACAACACACAAACACAATACAAATTGGAAACTAAAAATGAAGTAAGGAAGATAAAAGAAATGAAACAACACAAGAAAACAAAGAAAAACACAAACAGCACTTTCTATCACCCGTTTATCACCATTTGGACAGATTCGTTTCTCTGTTTTTCAGTTTCGACCTCTGTCCAGTTTTTGACCTATAACTTTCCAACCGTTTATCCAAAATTCACGTTCTTTATACGGTTGGAATCAGCACAGAAAATGCAAGAACACAACGCGGACCAAAAGTCCAAAACAATTACCGAAACAAACAAAATTCAGTGACAAAGACACAAAACGTGTCAAACACGCAACTCACACACATCTACACCCATGACTTCCAAAGGTACTCTTTCTCGTACCCATGGTACTGTCCTTGCGGATCCTACCCCTTATCGACAGATGGTTGGCGCCTTACAATATCTCACCATGACTCGTCCTGATATCTCATACGCTGTTCAACATGTCTCTCAATTTATGGGATCACCCAGTGATGTTCATTTTGAAGCTGTCAAACGGATTTTACGTTATCTAAAAGGCACCCTTGGAGTTGGTCTTCCTGTTCGTAGGTCTCCTGACTGTTCCTTCTTAGTCGCCTATTCTGATGCAGATTGGGCTGGATGTCCTGACACTCGCAGGTCCACAACCGGGTATTGTGTATTCTTGGGACCCAACCTCATTTCGTGGAGTTCTAAGAAGCAGCCCACCGTTTCCCGTTCTAGTGCCGAAGCCGAATATCGAGCTCTTGCCTATGCCTGTGCAGATACTTTGTGGATTCAAGGTCTCTTAACTGAACTTCGTTGTCCGCTTACTCGTCCAGTTTTACTTAACTGTGACAACCTGTCTGCCACATACTTAGCCGCTAATCCTGTCTTCCATGCTCGTACAAAACACATTGCTATTGATTATCACTTTGTCCGTGAACGGGTCGCCTCTGGCAGTCACAAAGTTCAGTTTGTTCCTTCTCAACTCCAGCTTGCAGATGTCTTCACAAAAGGATTACCAGCTGACCGTTTTGAACGTCTGGTTTCCAAACTCGTCACCTATCCGGTGTCCAGTTTGTGGGGGAATGTTAGGCCGTTATCCTAATTATGACTGCATATAATTGCTTGCAGCTGTTATGCTATTATTGTATTGTAGTAACTGATATGGCAGCTATTATTATTATATTGTAGTAACTGATAGGTTTACGTTTATGTTCCTGTGTATAAAGAGATTGTAAAATCAGTTTTGATAATATAGAAAACTCTGTTTCTACAAAGAGATAGAGAGGAGGATGATGAGGAGAAGAAGATGAGATCGATTGGGGAATTACGGCTTCAAATCAATTATGATTGAGAAAGGAGAAGAGAAGAGAAGAGTTTATAGAATGAGGAAAGGAAAGGAAAGGACGCAGGAGAAACAAAGAGGAGTCGAAGAAATGTCTGTAGAGAGAGAGGAGGAATTCAATTAAATTAGGGTTATTATTTACATGTACTGTTCAGTACGGTATGACACCAAACGGGATCACAAAGCTGGAACTGATGTCGTGCCAAACAGTAACGGGATGACATGGTATTATCTCGTTTACACGTCAACACCAAATGGGACGGCACGAGATTGGCACGGTTTGGCACGGTTTCTGTATTCTGGTTTTGATGCCTACCCCTACTCTACATACCCCATCACCACAGCTAGCCCCTCATCTCACCGACCCGAAACAACTTCTCCCCATCCCCCAGCTCAACCACTCTAATGCCACTCCAATCCTCAATTGAAATCACAGCAGCTAGTGACCCAGCCTTTTCCCCGCTCGCAACCCACCCTACATCCAAAAAACATAAAAGAAAACCTATCCCTACCTACAAACCCAAACCCATTCGCACACCTTTCCCCTATGATTTTTCCCCCATAGCCTTAAAAGGTCTAGACCTCTTCACCTCACAAGTTCATTGCCCCCTCACCCAAAATCTCGACCCCAAATCACACAACCTATCAATGGATTCAAGATCTGAATAAATGGGGTTGTTCGGAGGGTGGGGGCTGATGGGTTTGGTCACAGAGAGAGAGAGAGAGAGAGAGAGAGAGAGAGATGGCAAATTCGTAAAGAGAGAGGGAAGGGGTTTGGTCGCACACAGAGAGAGAGAGGGCATAGTCTCAGAGAAAGAGAGAAGAAAGGGTGGGTGGGTCCCATCCCTCTGTTTATTAAAATGATTTTTTTCATTTTATATGTCATACTATTTTATTTTACAGTATTTAATTATTTTTAACAAATGAAATGACCAATATGCCCTTATATTTAATGGCAAATTGGATCAAATGTTGAGAATTTGGACAGCAAGGGGGAAATTGAGAATAATTTTTTTTTCAAGTCCTTAATTTTCTATAAAAAAAAAAAGTCAAGGGGTAAATTGATAATTAGGTACAAGTTCAAGGGGCATTTCGGCAATTTACCCTTGATTCAAATACTTATATTAGAAAAGCATGAATTAGAATAATTTTAGGGGGTTGTATATTCAATTAGGATTCTAGAGCGTTTAAAAAGATTTTGTTTAAGTGTCAGCTTTCATAGAACTTGATGGATTTTTTAGAATTCGTATAGAACTTGATAGACTTTCAGAAGACTTCTATATAATTTTTTAATAAACTTTCTTAAAATTTGTATGGCTTTTATTCCATACTTCAAATTCAGAAATAGATAGAAGAAAAACAAATGGGAAAAGATCAGCTGACTGCCAGAGGAAAAAAACTCAAATGTTTTATGTGTGAGACTTTTGCCATCTTTGCCAAAAAAGTGCTCAAGTAGGCCTCCGTCTTCTACAGAAACTTTGAGCATGTGGCCATCCTTGTTTTGTTTGCTTTTAGATCTCATCAAAGCCATGACTTTATTAAACTCCTCCCCATCAATGTCTCTGTTAATAATACACGTAACAAATTATAAATTAAAAAAATAGATGGAAAGTATACAAAGTAAAATTATTTTATATAGTAGCATTGCTGTCAATGTATCTAATGGTGATCCAATTTCAAGAGATGTTCTTATACTTAATTTGTACCAACATGAAATAAAATTTTAAACGACATGAAATAAAAAGCCAAATTCATAACATCTTTTTCTTCAATAACATGAAATAAAATTATGTTTAGCGAAAACCCTAGTAACAAGCATAAACTCTAACCCCAAACTATACCCTAATAACAAGAAAAACACGATGAAGAAAAATCATTGAAAAAGAAAATCCAACGAGGTATTGATCGAACAAAAAATAGGGAGCATACCTTCACAGATGGAGAAAGGAAGATGTTCGTCTTCTGTTGCAGAGAGAAAAGCTAGGGCGAGAGAAAAACGTCTGACGAAATACTTGGGAGGGAGGTTGGATTTATTATGGCCTTTGTTATTTATAGCTCTCCCCTTAAATCCTACGAAAATTTATCACTTAATGAAATCCTTCCAAATATATGACCTTTCGAATACACCTAGATTTGATTCAACTTTTTTATAATCTTAATTGAATGCACCCATATTTGAATGGACTTTTTAAAAGTTCATACAAATCTGAATTGAATACACCCAGACTTGTAAAACCTCTTTTAAAGTTTGTTTAAAACCAAATTGAATACACCAGGATTTTAAAAATCTTTTTAAACGCTTTATAATCCTAATTGAATACACCCCCCTTAATATTCGTTTCTGATAAGTGACATGCTACATATTTTTAGGTGTGTGTCTTCTGTTCCATTATAGTACGTTCTCTTCCATTTAACACTAAGTTAAAATGATGTGAAAATTTATAAAAGATACCTAAGTTAAGTGTTACTTCGGGATCACGCATGACAACGGCAATGTTTATACTTAACCACTTAAACTTAAACTTGGGAAACGGAGAATTTCAAACACATGATTCGAGTATAAGGGTAATTGTTCTTAACCACTTAAACTTTACTTGTTTGTAACAACATTATTGTCATGCTACTTACGATTATACAACACAACCCAGCTATTAGGCTGTAGCTATGGTCCCTTAAATTGGAGAAACGTTTACATGAAATACTATTTTGCTATTTTTGGCCAATCAAGGTATGCCACGCATGAAAATTTTTCCACATGGCATTCTATGATTGATCGAGAATAGAAAAACAGTGTTATTCCCGTTTCATACAAATATTTTTGTTTAAATTGAAAGCGGTTAATAAATAAAGTGACATTTCAAGTTCAAATATATATGGCGTGGGTTCAAAATGCACTATGCAATGGGGATGCCAGGTATGGCTAGACAAATTAATTGTGTAAGGAGAAAAATATATGGTTCAAATTTCTTTTGGGTAGCCTTGGCTTTTTCAACACGCACCATATGTTGCCTGGAAAAGCTCACAATGATTAGGTGAAATCATGTGAAGCAGCTATTCAAATTAAAAGAGACATTTAGATTTGGACTTGATGGGGAAACAAAAGGCAAATAGTCTACAGTCCTTACTGCATAATCTCCTGTCCTATTTGGAAGATAATAATGCGTATTGTTGGCAAATAGAATATCTCCCAAAATGTTTGTTTAATCATGAAAATGAAAACTGCATCAAATTCAAACACTAGGATGGAAAAAGAGACAAAGCTACGTACTATGACCTAAAATGTTTTTAACTTGTACAATTTAAAGCATATTTATTTATTAGGAAGGGAAGAAGTCATGAATCGAAAAGTAGTAGTTGATTTTATTTCCTATTTCAAGAGTGTTGGATTACACATTTAATGTGGAACCCACAAATTTTTATTCTTTAAAAAATTCGAAGTTAGGATTTGATTCAAATACTTATATTAGAAAAACATGACTTAGAATAATTTTAATATTCATTTATGATAAGTGACATGCTACAGATTTTTAGGTGTGTGTCTTCTGTTCCACTCTAGTACGTTCTCTTCTTTCGACTAAGTAATTTATGTGTATTAATTCGCTTCTCCATTTACACTAAGTTAAAATTATGTGTTATATCTTAGTGGAAATTTATAAAAGATGCCTAAGTTAATTGTTACTTCAGAGTCACGCATGACAACAACAATGTTTATACTTTTTTTTTTAACACCAATAACGTGTGAACCAAATGATTTTTTTTACTAATGGATGTATAGGTGAGTTTGTGTTGAACCATCACTATCAATTAATCAATGATTATAAAGCATTTATGTTGTTTCTTGTAATCAAATTTTGATTCTATTGAACTATCGGCCAATCCGATGATATCGTGTAATTGAACGGATAATATTTTAATTAGCCTTTGAAGTAGTGATTTAATACAAGTTTTGTCACCTTGATTGATATGATAAGCTGCTAAATAAGAACATCGATGCATAGCCCATACCCCTCGATCACAACTGTATATATATAGAGACAAGTCTGCAGGGCATTGAAAATGACTGAAATATATAGAAGATTATATATAGTTCACAAACATGACAGCCATAAATATTTCTTTAATGTTTAATATGCCAAACAAAGTGTAGAGATTTGTGTAGAGATAAGCTAGAATATGAGAATGTGAGAATGAGAGAAGATAATTTTCTGGTTTTAGAATTCTTTCTTATATCTCACATTACTTACAATCAACACATATATATACAAGTTCCTAAGCCCCCCAAGTTCCCCCAAGTTAGGCAACCAACCAAGTTAGGCAACCAACCTAGTCAAGCCCCCCAAATATTGTAGGTGCCAAACATAGTAGGTGCCAAACATTAATTGACTACATAATCAACACATTAATTGACTACATAATTAACACATTAATTGACTACATAATTAACATAATAATGTATTATTGGGCGGGAAGCAACAAAGGTAGGTGCTGTCTTTCTTCGTTTATTAATCCATAAATCCAATCTATATATTCCTTGTTCTTCAGAAGAAAAGAAGAGTAGACGTGCTTTTGATTGTTGAATTAGGGGTTTTAATCAGTTTATAGGTTGTAGCGTTTGGTAACTGGAGAAGATTTATCCATATTTGACACCATAATAACTTTGTACTTTTTTATTTTTTCATCTTATCAATAAAATACTATCGTTAAAAAAATGCATTTTATCCATGAAAACATTTGCATAACACATTACAAAAAAATGCAGT